GTGGAGCTGGATTTTAATTTGTGCAATAAGACAAAACAGTCTTGTTGTTTTAAAGAAATTAGTAAAAAAAAAAAACAGATGTTACAATGCAAAGAGTTGGATTTTGTCTTGATATGTGTTAATTTTATATATTGAGAAATATGTAAAAAAAATTAAAGTTTATTATTAAAAAAAACTCACACAAAGTACCGAAAATTGGTACCGTTAAGTATCGGTACCGAATCGATTCAAATGTCAAAGTTACCCATCCCTAGTGTTATTGAAGCGCTTAGTCTAATGTGGCTTGATTGTTCACACATCTATGTTCACASTGCAGGTCTTAACGCTCAGCTCCATCTTTCAGGTATAACTGCACCATGCTGAACTCAGTAAAAGTTAAGTGATATAAAATAAAGCCATTGGGCTTTGCTGGASCTCTTAGTTCAAGTGTTCACTCACCAGAGCAGGCCAGGCTGCGGCTGACGCTGGAACTCCAGTGGCCCTTGTACCGTCACTACGGCTGACCCAAACTATTGAGTCTTCAACCAACACGGCCTTCACCCCCTCGTCATACACCTGCACCCAGGAACATCGCTGGGATGCCTTCTCAAACTCCACAAARACCTACAGATCAGAGATAAGAGACAAACCATAAGCAACAGGACTTGTGTGCAAGTTAGAACTGCTAACTCAGATTTGCACATTTAGTTTTCAAACAAAGCTGAAATTCAAGGATTTTTACKCAACCACATAGATTTAGACAGCAGTTTTCAATTATAATTATTATTTCCATTGTATGATACATCTGACATAGCCCAGTCTATGTTTTTATTATTTTTACTCAATTTAGTCACTTTCGTAACTGTACATTCATGAAAACATTAATGGACAAGTTATCTGATATCTGTCTCATTGTTCACTTACATCAATTCAGAGTTTAATCAATTCAATTGAAGAGCAAGATGGTAATTTGCTGGCAAGTTTAATAGATGGGATCTTAATGACAGCAAGACTTCAAACAATGAGCTTTGGCTGAACAAATGAAAATATTAGGGGCACAAACTGTACAAACTCAATGAAATGWTTTTAGGTGACAGTTACCATATGAGTAATAATTGTCCTTAGAGGCTGTATTTGTATTCATAAAAGCAGAGTTAATGAACTGTAACCAGCACTCAGCCAGTACTACAGCAACACTGGGCTGTAATTAAGGTGCTGACAGACAACTGTTTGGTACAGATAAAAAAAACTTAAGTCCCTATGAATTACCAGAACAAAAAGATGTAAAATAAATAAAGTTTAATTCACAAAAAAGTGTTTAAACAAAGWGTCCCTTGTTGCCGATTTCGAGGTGTATTCAGTCAAACAGTTTTCTCACTGAACAAAACATTGTCAAAAATGTACAAAGCTGAATTTCGGAGGATTTCATTAAACTTTTTACGATGGGGAAAGCTGAGAAATATGAATTTCTTATTTCTTGCTTTGAAGGACACACGAGTAAGTATCTCATTATACAGACTTATCTTATTGGCAACTGTATGGTAGTTTTTTTTCTAGTACTCCATATCACAATATTTACACTGTTGAAAAGTAATTTTAACTATGCTGATTATATTCTTGGAAAATGAACTATTATCATAAATATCTGAAACATTTTCACAGCCATGAGCTTTAAGAAAGTGTTTTTATGCCATCAGTGGCAAACCTAATATTTGTAAACACAAAATATCTAAGCTGCACAAGTATTTTAAAAACTGTATTATGCTTTTATACGCTTTGTGTGATTATATTCAGGCTTCAGTACTAAAACAGCAAAGATAATAAGTGCTAGGCTACAATGTAGATAGATATAAACCATGATAAAAATAAACCCACGCTTGTAAATGTCACTTTTGAGGAGTAAACATTTTGTAGTAGAACACCACAGTTTACAAATGTTATATTCGTTTCACTGTTACAAATGCTTTTATTGTGGTTTTGTTTGAATTATAAGTATATTGTTATACATTTGTGTTCATCTAGAAAGGGTTGCTGTGACATTTTTCAGTAGTCATGTTTCTATCCCATTTTAACTAGAATTTTGAGTGAACTTTTTCTGCAAAAATGAAAAAAAAAAAAAGAAGAAGAAATGGAAAACAGACGTGTTTCCATCAAATGGCTTGGAGCAAATCAACCAGGCTACACAAAGTAATTTTGTCAGACGGTGACATTACGCATGGCTGTAGTAAACAGGAAGTGAAGCCGCAAACTTGCAGGGATACACATCTCTGGACAACAGCAAAAAGTTATCAGAAATGTGTAACTATTAATGGGAAAGTTGTAATTATTCTGTCATATCAGTTAGTTTAGGCGATGCAACATGATGTCTGGAGATGTAGGGAAAAAAATGCAATTCTATTTACACTCATGGCCAAAAGTGTTGGCACCCCTGAATTTTTTTTCCAGAAAATTATTGCAATTACACATGTTTTGTTATACATATGTTTATTTCCTTAAGGGGTATAGGAACAACACAAAAAACAGAGGGAAAAAGGCTAATTTGACATAATTTTACACAAAACTCCAAAAATGGACTGCACTAAATTGTTGGCACCCTCAACTTAATAATTGGTTGCACATGCTTTGGAAAAAATAACTGAAATCAATAGCTTCCTATAACCATCAACAAGCTTCTTYCACCTCTCAACTGGGATTTTGGACTACTCTTCTTTTGCAAACTGCTCCAAGTCTCTCATATTTGAAGGGTGCCTTCTCCCAACAGCAATTTTAAGATCTCTCCACGGGTGATCAATGGGATTTAGATCCGGACTCATTGCTGGCCACTTTAGAACTCTCCAGCGCTTTGTTTCCATCCATTCCTGGTTGTTTTTTGAAGTATATTTGGGGTCATTGTCCTGCTAGAAGACCCATGACCTAGGACGCAAACCCAGCTTTCTAACACTGGGCCCTACATTGCAACCCAGAATCCTTTGGTATTCTTCAGATTTTATGATGCCTTGCACACAGTCAAAGCACCCAGTTCTAGAGGCAGCAAAACATCTTTCAACCTCCACCATATTTGACTTTAGGTACTGTGTTCTTTTCTTTGTAGGCCTCATTTTGTTTTCGGTAAACAGTACAATGATCTCTTGGTCTCATCTGTCCACAAGATGTTTTCCCAGAAGGATTTTGGCTTACTTACATACATTTTGGCAAACTGCAGTCTAGCTTTTTTATGTCTCTGTCAGCAGTGGGGTCCTCCTGGGTCTCCTGCCATAGCGTTTCATTTCATTCAAATGTTGACGGATAGTTCGAGCTGACACTGATGCACCCTGCAGGACAGCTTGAATTTCTTTGGAACTTGATTGGTGCTGCTTTTCCACCATCCGGACTATCCTGCGTTGCAACCTTTTATCAATTTTTCTCCTCCGTCCACATCCAGGGAMGTTAGCTACAGTGCCATGGGTTGTAAACATCTTGATTATGTTGCACAACGTAGACAAAGGAACAGCAAGATCCCTGGAGATGGACTTGTAACCTTGAGATTGTTGATATTTTTTCCACAATTTTGGTTCTCAAGACCTCAGACAGTTCCCTTCTCTTTCTGTTCTCCATGCTTAGTGTGGCACACACAGACACACAACGCAAAGATTGAGTCAACTTCTCTCATTTTTATCTTGTTTCAGGTGTGATTTTTAAATTGCCCGCACCTGTTACTTATCAAAGGTGAGTTTCAATGTGCATCACATGCTTGAAACAAAGTTATTTACCTTCAATTTTGAAAAGGTGCCAATAATTTTGTCCAGCCCATTTTTGAAATTTTGCGTAAAATTGTCAAATTAGCCTTTTTTTCCTTCTGTTTTTTGTGTTGTTCCAATACACACAAAGGAAATGAACATGCATGTAATAAAACATTAATTGCAATAATTTTCTAGGAGAAATACTTCATTTTCTGGGAAAGATTCAGGGGTGCAAACACTTTCGGCCAAGACTGTATGTTACAGGAATATCTGGGAAGATGCAGACAGCGGGAGGAGGGTCCAACTGCAGCCGCAGCTGGTACCGGCACCGGACAGCCAGCAGGAGCAGCTGATCAATCCTGTGAGGTAAATGTTCACTACCTCAGAACTTATTTGGAAAATGTGATTATATCTCCACTTGTGAGCATCAACGCTTTTTCGAAAAATCCAAAAACCACCTCAAGCGAGTGTAAAAACTTTTTTGCAAAATAGAGAACGATTTTTTCAAATCGTGCCATTTCCATTCACCTTTTCTAATGCAATACTTCAAAAGGTCCATACAGAAATGTTGAAACAGTTCTTGTCATCATCACTGATGAAATCTGAGCAGACCTTACAAGCAACAACGKCTCTAGTAACCAAAGATTCAACTTCTCCAGATGATCACACAGCTACATACAAAACAAAGTTCCTCCTGCCATAAATCTGAATAACTTATCTTCACAGACCAGCGTCAAACATCTAAGAAAGAAATTTTAAGCACAAAATGTTTGTATGGTTTTACATCTATTTAAGTAATTTCTAAAGTTCTCTTTTATGTCCGCCAAAAACTGAAAAAGTAAAAAAAAAAATCTGACACGCTACATACATTTAGGTAAAGATATCATCAAATTGGTCAGTCTTGTTTAATAATTTATGTGACAGGTGGTTTTGAAAGTATAAATAAATGTGTGGTAGCAAAAAGAAACTCACTGTCAGCTATACTAAAGTATCTTGGCTACAAAATAAAAGATGGCAACTAAAAAAAACCCTGGCTGTCATTAGTGCCTGTCAGTTCCTTCCAAAACACAGGCCAACAAATTTATACTTGTTTGATCAATGTCTGAAAGCAAAAACTGTCCAGATGAATACGGATTTGTGCATGTGTGTGTGTAAATAAAAACATGAAAATATTCAAACCCTTCATCTAATAACTAATAAAAACCTATACCAAGAACAAAGTGTGGAGTCAAAGTTTGGAAGAAAGCCTTAAATGTTACTTTAAATGTTTGCATTAAAAAAAAAAGCATTGTATGGCAACATTTTCTAATATCTTGATGCTCTACCATCCAGTAAAAACGTGTTTTGGTGATTTAACACCAACCAGTTCGGTTCTAGAAAATAAGTAAATCTTTTCCCTCTAACATCAAATATACTTTTCTGACTTCTCACTTAATTTGACACAATACTTAATTAGACATCGCATTCCTCACTCTAGTTTCTAATGATGTTATTTGTATTTCAGCTATTTTAAATACTATATGAATAGCTTTGGTTTTTACTTTTAAAAATGCTTATAATTTTAGTATTACTGAATCTGCACAAGTCCACCACCCAATTTTCCTACAACACAGCTGTCTTTAACTTCTAAAGAAGACTAGCTGATTTTATTTTTTTCGTTTAAGCTTTTAGTAGACTGTATTTAAACATAATATTGAACAATGTGGACCAAACTATAAAATCGAAACCATTTCTGTTCCCCCCTATGTGAACTTCTAAGGCCTGTTAACTACACTAACATGATGAGCTAGCGGTGAAAACCGATTATCCATTCTTCATTTATGACTTACCGCTAGTTTATTTTTATTACTTAAACGTTCCACGCTCATCTTCAGCTAGTAATTCTATGCACAAATTTAAGGCAAGCTACGGAACATTACTTCAGTGTCGAGAAGCTAAAAAAACCGAACAAAGCAAAGGCCAAAACACGAATCCCCGGGCTCAATTTTAGCTTCGCCCCTTCACGTGCAATTAAATATAGGCAGCAGCTAACGATACTACCGATAACGCTAGCAGCTTTAAGTTTGACATAAACGCGATATGGTTAAATGCACAACACACAACTAGTACAGCTAACAGGTTCTTGAGATAATGAGTAATTAGCGGCGCAGTGCTGCATCACTTGCATGTAAATACTGACCGTCAGCCCTGCAGCGCTGCTTGTTGTTGTCGCCTCCCCTCCTTCGCTAACCTCCGGAGCGGCCAGGCCGATTACGCTCACCGCCCGCACCGTTCCATGGAGCCAGTCCCGGGCCCGAGCAGCCTGCTCCGTTTCGGATCTGTTCGCGGGCCTGTCGTCGTCGAGAAGCAAAGTCAGACGRTTCCCGATTAATTCGAGAGAGTCCCCCATGGTTCGCTCACAAGCTGACTGGCTTCAGTGAGCCACCATGAACAGTTTTAACTTCTCGGCTCGGGATGATGGGAACTCGGCGAAACCGACCGTAAAAAAAAAATTCAAACGATAAAACAGCTGCAGCGGTTCCGTGGTTCACGCTGTTGTACAAATAAGGCTCGTTTCGGCTGCAGCACCTGGAGACACGCAGTGACGGACCGAGTCACGCCAGCAATTCACCCAGTAGAAACGTTTTTGTCCTCGGTGTGAACGCTACTGACTACCCCTACTTCGTCCGCCATTGAGCCCTGCAACAATCAAACGCACTCCTTCTGGTAGGCAGGCGGCACTGCGGAGAAGAGGGGGACAAAAAATAAGAAACAGCGGCCTCCAGTGGCGCGCCTGCGCACTACAGCCTCGTAGACAGGCTGTACAGTAAAGCAGTGGTTCCCAAACTTTTTACCTTTTGACCCACAAAATAACAATAGCAGAGACCTGTGCCCCCAGCTATTTTTGGATGATAAACATTTGTATCAGGTCAACTAAACATGGACATAGTAACAATATTTTTATACTACATTTATCCATTTTAAATGCACTAACCTCACTTCTTTGTAACAAATAAGGCAAAAATGTAATTAATTCAGAAAATCTTTTCAGGACCCCACCTTGATGTTTCGGGACCCCACTTTGGGTCCCGACCCCAATTTTGGGAAACACTGCAATAAAGGACTAAACAAGTGAAATAACTAACTGCTTTGTTAAATAAAATGTGCTTCTTTTATCKCAAATGGTTGAATCAGTAAGTTAGGTTTTTTTTTGCTCTTCTGGTAAACAAGCCATCAATTGGAGACTTCAACAATCAATGAACAGGGCTTTTGGGAGCAGGAGACAAAAATCACTTTGACATCTTATTGAAAGACATTTAAACTATAAGAGCAGTAGAAAGGAAAAACATTGTTATTGTGACACTTCTTTAATGAACAAGTTCTTTAATGTTTCTTCTTTAATGTTTCATTAAAGAAGAACCCGTCCAGAGGACCTATACAATTTTTTTTCCTTTGATTTTTTACCTGGATTACTGAGATGCATCAGGATATTGTGACACTGTTACATGATGATAACCGACCCATGCTTATTAGCACCCCAAGCAAAGGGGCCTGCTGCTAAATTAAAACCATTCAATAACTGCATTTTAGAACTACTCAAAAACAGAAAAATTGAAGAGGACAATTCATTTTTTCCATTTTGTTTCTGACAATAGTGGAAACTTGTTTTAGTTGGGAGGTATTTTGAGCGTGTGGGAATTGCACTAGTATTACCCTGAACACCCTTAATGCCAAATGAAAGCAATAAAATGTTAGCTAATAAATTATGTACACAGATGTACAATAAAAGTTTTAGTTTATGTATCAGKTTTAAAAAAAACTAAACATCAAATGTTAGGATTATGCAGGACTGAGGATATTTATTCTATTAACCACAGTATTTGTACATGCATGTCCTCTGGCACCCATCAGGGGTGCTGCAGCACCCTTCGTAACCCTACCTCCCTCAGCCTTGGTTTCAAGACTAAAGCCTAAACATTGAGATTTAAGTTGACATATTAAGAAAAAGTAAAGACTTCAGTCACAACGAAGACAAATGTTTAGATTAAACGAAATTGTCTTTCCAAAATAGTCAAAACGGTGGAAACAAAGTCGATTTGAGAATAATCAAAAAGCAACCATCACTGGCACAAAGACCTATGAAGACAATATATTTTAACTTCTGAATAGATTGTAAAATATCTTCTATTTGTGTGTATCTAAAAAATAATTAGCATGTAACTTATTTCTTGAGCTGTACACAACCTGTAAAGAACATCTCAAACTTCTTAGCAGTTTGAATTTTACTGGAGAACAATACTGATGTACATTTTTTTTATAGATCATGGGTCACTCAGTTACACAAGGGGATCAAAATTCAAAACTTGTACAAGCCAAGGTCAACTGTATTAAAGAGCTTGTATTGTGTTTCTCAAGCACATAGTTCAATTCTGMACCAAAATCAAGTAACTGTGTCACCTTCAGTTGTTATGAAAATGCTGTCTATATGTATAAATCAAAAATAAATTTCACTTTGCATCATAGCTAGTTCTAAATGTCTATAAATTGGCCCCTTTCTCTTCCTTTTAATAACCTCTTACTGATTCTTTCACTCCCATTTCTGTACATCATCACAACAGCTTTTTGCCGTTTACAACCTGTCTTTTACTGTAAAATCCAATAGCTATCCTGACTTACAAAAATAAGTTAACGTTACTTGGTTATCAACAATTTGTACTTCTGACTTGTATTTATTAAGTGACAGTTACTTAGTTGAGCTCTCTAGCAATGATAAGTAGTCAACGGTCCCTCCCACTGCACATTTAAAGGAGTGTGCACATGCAGTTCAGTCTCTCTGGTCCAGAATGCACCAGTACAAACTTTTAGTGTTAATAATGTTTAAATATAAGAACTAAATTAGCAGAAACACTAAATAAGTATTTTTTTCCTCTCTACCTGCTTCTTCCTCCTATCAGCTCAGACTCCAGAGTTTTAGCTCCGCCTCTTTGCTGCTGAGATGGATAATTTTCTGAAAACTCTCCTCTGAAAAAGACACAAAAACACTTTTATCTGTGATTCATGAATTATTTTCAGTTGTGTTCACTATTGTTGTCACATTACACATTCAGGTTTGATTTGACATTTGTGTTGAAGTTTTAGTTACTGACTGTAGCTGACACCATGAGTGAGAGGTCTGTGTCACAGTCATATAGAAGGAAAATGACCAGGTTAYATAACTATGTCCTAAGACACAGTCTTTCATTTGTTAATACATAGTCTACATTAACATGTGGTGGATGATGCTTATGTGATCAAAATTAGCACTCAGTCCCCACCAAATATGTCACTTGTGTAGCCAAGCAGAGTGCAGAGATGCAGATGGAAGCATTTCTTACAAAAACTGACAGAGCTCAGCTTCAGAATGCATATTTAATGGATCAAAGTAAAGTTCACATGCAATGTTTCAGTAGATTAAACTATTGATTCTGAGTAATCTTTAGTAAGTCAAGTACACCTAAAGTAAATTATCAAGTGCACGCTAGTTGATTTTCTCATTTGCGTCAACTCATTTATAAGTGTACTCTACAAAAAAAAAGCTCTTAGGCTACATTCACACTGCAGGTCTTAATGCTCAGTCCCGGTTTTTTGAAAAAATCCAATCTTTTTGTGTGAACGTTCACATTACATTTTAAATGTGACCTGCATCAGACCCCTGTGTGAACGCTACACAGCACTGATGTGACACGCATGCGCAGTAAAAGACGTGACATCTCATCAGCCGACTTGTTTGTTTACAGAGCTAGCATGGATGCTACATTTTGCGCATCGAATCGGAAGTTGTTGTTTAATCAGAGCCGATTAAATAATTATCTGACCTGCTTCTTTAGTTCAGTGTTTATATCTGAACCTGCCTCTGACCGGGATGCTCCAGTGAAGTTTTTTTTTTGAACGAAACTACGAGCTGGAAAAAAGTATCGACCTAGTAGCTAACTTTAGGATCGATACTCTCCGCGACCCAGGCTGGACATCGTTATCATCATACTAATGAAAAGTAAAAAGATGAATCAACTGGACTTGTGTTTTGGAGCTGTAAACACACGGAGCTACAGATTTAAACAGCGAGACTTGAGGTTAGTGTCTTATCGATCCTTCACCCCCTCCTCCTGATGAAAAAGTCAGATGAATGAGACATGAGCGTTCACACTGCAGTCACTTTGAAAACATCAGATATATATCCGATTTAAAACCACATACTGAAACGGCCTGGGTCGGATTTGAAAAAATCAGATTTGTCTCGTTCAGACTGTCATAAAAAAATCGGATATGAGTCAGATGGGTCAAAAAAATCGGAATTGGGTCGGATTTGCCTGCAGTGTGAACGTAGCCCTAGTTAGTACAACTTAAAATACCTAGTTCAGTGTACTCAAATTTTTAATTGCTATAGGTTTACAAAGCTTTTTTTTAAGTAATGATAACTAATTGAATTTTACAGAGTAGGAGCGATGATTTTTGCTGTAATGATAATTTCAAAAGCAGTAACCTTATACAATATCGGTTTTGGAAAACAGCATCTCAGGATACAATTGGATCTTACTTGAATGATCTCACATCGGACTTGGAAAGTATGTTCTCTGAAGAACATTTCATCGGAGGGTTACTTCCAAAATTGAAACTGTCCAGACATTTTTTTAAAAAACCGTGTCATCCTTGTGAAGCTTAAAAAGAGGGTAGCATCTGAAAACACATTTCCTTAAGGGCAGTTTTTAATCGGAAAAGGACTGAACTGAGAAGTAGTTAGTATTACAAGCTCAGCAGACACGCGGTTTCACCAGGTGGAGTCGGGGGAAAGCTCAGCTTGGAGATACAGTCCAGAGGAGGAGCTGCATATAAAAGGTGGTTCTAGGGCCAACCAGCRGTTTTTGTTCTCCTGAATGGCCGCCACAGGACATAACATAACAGGAACATTCATGAACGAGTCAAAGCAAGACTCTGGGTATGGTTTGATTACGTTTGACATTAGAAGATGATCTAAAGCTCAAAAGTTTAGTACATYCATCATGTTTTAGACAATGGATTTTTTTAAATCCATCTTCAACGTTTGCATAAGTTGTCTAAAATGTTAAAGTGTCTTAGGGACTTAACATACAGAAAAAAAGATTACATCTATAAAAACACATCCTCAAGATTCATTCAGACCTTTCATTATATTGTTATAAATTATATTTAAAATAGTAATTGAAAAATATAATTTTTTGTTAATGTTTAACATTTTTATTTTAACTTCTTAAGCCCCAAGGGGTTTTCTTGATGTTTTTGCWTAAAATACCATGCTGAAATGTAAATGAGTGTATCTCACAATTTATAAACTCTATTTAAAAATCTTCGTATCAAAATAAAGCTAACACCTGGGAGATTTCATCAGAAGTGTAAGTATTAAAACAGCTGCTGTGGTTTTAGAGATATTAAGGATGGAACATTATTTTTTTTCCACTCTCACCTGAATATTTTTTTTTCATTAGACAGTATACTGTATAACCCATTTAAAACCATAATGCAGTAGGCTAAAAACTCTTGGAAACCATAAATCCACTTGTGGACTTTACCTGTGCAAAGATTCATGCTGCTGAACTGGAGCAAAGTTACAGAGGTAGTAAAATAACTTTGAATTTTGTTATTCTGCACAGGACGGACCATGATGGCATCATTAATAAATGTTAAGAAATGAAGTTTTTGATTGCAGAAGTTTTTTTTTCTTACCTACATGAGAAGACTTGTTATTGAATGTTTGTTCTTTTGAAAAGTTATCCAAACATTTATTTGGCACCATATATATTATACAAAATAATGAGAAGTTATGTTTGACTTCAGTTGGATCATATTCACTCAAAACCAAGTTAAGACAAAACTTTCAACACACTTTATAACCTATTTTGGTATCTATTTTGACTTGATTTTTTTTTTAAACAAAGTCAAAAATCTTTACAGTTTTGCAAATTTGCAATGACATTTTGTACAGTTTGTTTACTTTCTGATTCAACTGCTTGACGTTTTAACTGCGTTCGGTGGATGTAAAATTAGTTTCCATGAGCTTTTAGCCAAGAGTCTTGGGTTTACTTTGATACCAAATATGTCCATGTTCAACTGACAGATCTGAAGTTAAAAGAAATTTAAAATAAACATACAGCTTCCTTAGGCCACCCCCCACTTTGGTAATTCTTGCTTTAGAATACAGTATATCAARATACTGAGTTTTCTTATCCCAGTTAAGTCTCTATAAATGACACTTCGGTYGGTGACAGGACTTTATGGTTAAAGATGTCACAACCCTGTTTCTAAATAAATACAAAAGATCATGATCGTGTCACTTTTATTAACATTTAACACTTTAGTCTTAATGAGCCTATTAGGAAAAACCAGGGTTCCCACACCTTGGTCAACATCAAATTCCAGGACCTTTCAAGGACTTTCCAGTACCAATTTCCTCAAATTTAAAAACCATGCGCGACAGCAATTACCTGCTGCTTCCACAAAATGTTGCCAATAAACAGGTTTAATATCATGTAAATTCAATGAAAAACTGAACAACATAGAAGTTGTTGAGTCAGAATCAATGAAAGAAAGTGGATTAAATGTATACCCTACATTCATATCCACAATACATGGACATGTAATTAGATCAGAGGTTGGGCAGCTCAGTTTGGGAGGAGGGGGTGTGAACATGTCCAGATGCTCGGTGAGGACAGGAGGAGCTGTGGTMCTCTCAKCTGGGCTCAGAAAGAAGACCCGCCCTCCTCTGCTCTGATTGGGTAAAACGATGAATATGGCTCACGTTATTTGTTGAAAGCCACATCAGTTTACCGTAATCCTGAGTTATCCACAGCAACAAACGTAAGTTTTTTTTAAATTTTATTATTATTATTTTTTACAGATGATGAAAATCAGTCATGTGAATACATAATGTCAATGCTAAAAAAAAAATACATTCAAGGACTTTCAAGGACAAGTGTAATTTTTGGCTATTTTCACAAACTTTCCAGGGCCTTGAACTCATTTTTTCAAATTCACAAACTTTCAAGGATTTCAAGGACCCGTGGGAACCCTGAAAAACAAACAAACATATAAAGAGAGCAAAAACAACTACTTTACTATAGTAAACAACCACAATTACACTAATAGAAATGTGCTATGTGGCAGGTAAAARGCCTATAATAGGCCTATTTTATTTTGGAAGAAACGCTGCGCACCGGAGGTGGCATGTTGGGTTGCACAGTGGGGTGTGGCCCGGGCTCCTCCTCTTCCTCACTGTTGTCCATCGCCTGAGTGAGCAGTTTGTTGATAGCTAACCTCATCCTCTTGAACTTGCTTTTCTTCATTGCAAGGAGGCTGTCGTGGACGTAATTAGCGAATGCTGTGCGCTCACTGATGGTCTGCGGCTGCCCGAGGTTTTGCATCAACTCCCTGGGCTGCTGCAGAATGTGGTCCTCCTGAGCCGTTTTGCTCTCGCGCTCTGGACTGCTGGGGCGGTTAGGAGAGGAGGTGCCATCGCCCGCATCAGCCAACTCCACAAAGGCAGCTTCTGCAGCATCCAGGTCGCCGGGGTGGGCAGAAARTGCAGCCTTCACCTGCAAACAGAAAATCATTTTTTAAAACCTACTCCTCAAAAATCAAAATCCCCAAAAAATAAATAAGACAATTAGCTCCAAGCACTCAGAGTGCACACCTCTGCACCACTCACGCAGGTGTTCCAGATAAATCGGATCTCTGTGAAAACCCCAACATTTTTTTTTGAAAATGTAGTGAAAATCCATTCATAAAGTTTTGAGTAATCTTGTGCACAGGCGGGTGGACAGACAGCTGGAAGAACCAACGCTAACCTCCTTGGCAGAGGTAAGAACAAACAAGAAGACGTTATAATTATAATAATACATTGCTGATTCATATTAGYATTGTCATCATTTGTGTGAACTCAAATTTGAATGTACTTACACTGTACACAGGCTCAGACCTGTGATTTACAGCATTCATGAATCTGAAGTTGTCCTTCACCCACTGCTCCCTCTCTGTCGAGTCGAGAGCCACATCTAAAATTTTCTTTTTGTTGTGTAGTTGTTCCTGAGAGAATGAAGGCCCCCCACATCCGAAGCTGAACAGCCAACACGCGGTCACGTGTTTGTTTAATGTTTATTTTCGGACACACCTTTCATAGCCCATGAGACACACCGCGTCGAGCTCCTGAGAAACCCTTCCCGCTGTGGTATACGTCATTGCACCAGGGTGACTCCAATTTCTGCACATCTGTCCCGGTTAAAGCACCGCAGTTTGTTTCAGACAGATTCGTGCAAAACGTGTTATTTCCACGCATCATTTTTTGGACGTTTGACTATCTTTATAAATGTCTGCTTCAGGGAACAACAGTCYGATTCTGGAAGAGAGTAGTTGAAGCAAAATGCAGCATAAGTGGCGGCACGATGGCTCAGTGGTTAGCACCGAATTATTAATACCTTCTACAGTCTGAGCATCGTGGAGATTAGCCTCTCTCTCCTGCAGGGAGCAGGTTTTATCACTGCTCTCGTCATGTCGATCTTATTCCAAAACAAAAGCTGCGCTCTTTCTTTCTTCTGTCCATCAAGAGCTAATCCACGGGCAACGTTCTGCTGATGTCAAAACTGTAAAAAGCGTGCTGTCCTCGCTTCTGCCCTC